GCTATTCGTTTTATCATACTTTTAATTTTTGCAATACGAAGAAACGAACGTATTTGACCAGATTTTTAAAAATTTAAATTTATTATATATAGTTATTAAAAAAAAAAAAAAAAAGATTTACCGAGGTCTCTATTTATGCTTATGAATGTATCGAATGTGCGCGGGAAATGAACGGAACAGCAGGGTTAACGGTGAAATTGGAGAACCAGAGTTGTAACATTGTCAATGTCGGCGGGGCTGAGAGCGGGATAAAAAGGGAGAAAAAAAGGATACATATAGATATCTCCATGGCCGGTATAAACGCCGTGGATCGCGCGCTCGCCGAGAGGGTCGTTGATCTTAATCGCGCGCGGATCCTCGACAATGATCCTCTCAAATGGATGAGCCCCGCCACTCGAGAGAGAGAGACGATGAAGATCTCTTCCCTCGAGGGGATATACACACGCGGCGTTACACTACCTAAGTAGGCATTCTGTTGCCGAATTGGGCATCCCCCCCTTCCCCCGTCCTTCGCGTTCGACACGTATCTCTATAAGGGGTCAGCCAGCCAATCCCCGTACTTTTATGCAGGCGTGCATCCCTTCGCATCATCGAAAAGAAAATATTTTATGGGTGTTTTTCGGGAAACAGAAAAAATATTCATGTTTAAATTCTTCGACTATATTAGTTTAGATTCGATTTCTTTTTCGCAGAAATATCCACAGATGCCAATTTCTGGAAATAATCCTTTGTAAAATACTTTTCGAAACACGAATATAAAAATTTCAGAACTCGATTTCTTAATTTTCGGGTAACTAGTTTACACGAATTTAGCTTGTTAAATTGATTAAGAAACATGTATTCGAGAATGTGCTTAGAATTCTAGATTCGAGATTATTTTACGATAAAAAATGTAAGAAAAACTTGTAAATGAGAATTCTCTGATTACCACAAACATGGGGTACTTTCAAAAATCGCGTAGTATCATATTTTTTTTTTTTTTTTTTGTCGAGAGTCTCATATATCATTCGATTCTATTCCCCGTTTAAAGGAAAATAAGGCACGCTTCGAGGCGCTTTGAAAATAAACGTCTCGCGAGGCCGAAATCCGGGTACGACACACAACGCTCTCCCGTCACCATTTATAAAATCATGAGACCAGATTGCCGGGCTTTCACCCTCTCGGCGTCGACACTCTCCGGGGTGCACGAGCTCGCCGTTCCGGGCGTACGATAGCCCAGCTCCGGTGGGCTGAATCCGAGAGTCGAGCTGGCTGGCTGGCTGGCTAGATAGATAAACGGTCGTTCGAGAGATGCCCATGATTCCAAGGGTGGGAGAGCGAGAGAATCGAGGGGCGGTCTTGGGGCGTGTCGGTTCCCCGGGCGCGAGCGGGACCCAGCACGAGGGGGCCCCCGTCTCCCGGGACTCCAGTCTCCAACGAGACATCGCAACGTGTGGATCGTGGGCGCGAGTGTCGGGGTGTCTCTCCTCTCGCGGATATCTGGGATCGTGATCGTGATATCGTGATATCGGCGCGAGAACAAAGGTCCCAAGAAAATCCTCATATCTCGTCTACGCGAGCGACTTTTTTTCAAAATTGGTCCTTTTCTCGCGAGAATAAGCGCGAGTAGTATAGTGATAGTCGGGACCAGTCGAGGTCACGTTCGCGAGGCGAAGGAGAAAAAAGATATCGTCTAGGAGACACGGTTAACACTCGACGACCAGGATGATGCATACCATGAGCGAGCACGCCGGCGTCGGCGTGCTGCCCTTTGACGGGATGGGTCTCTATGAGCAACCGCGACCACCCCGGCTTGTTTTCAAGATGCCGCGGGTCGTACCTGACCAGAAGTCCAAATTCGAGAGCGACGAGCTTTTTAGGAGACTGAGCCGCGAGAGCGAGGTGAGTCCGCTGGGGAACACGCGAAAAACAAAATAAAAAAATAGGCCAAAATAAAAAAGCGCAAGATAAGACATTTCCAATAATCAATTTGAATCCGAAATATATACTAAAACCGACGAAAATTAATTTTTAAGAATTGACCAGCATTTTATATAATTATTTTTCTTTTTTATTTACTTTTTAATATCGGAATCGTGGAAATATTTTTACGAGGAAACGAAAGAGGATAGATGTTCGGGGCGCGTTAAACGATACGCAAAATACATTATTAAATACATGAGAATTGTCGATATTTTTAAGAGGAAATGAAAACATTTGCATCGATAAATATGCAGAAATCATTGAGCTCGCGATATTCTCAAGAGGAAATATACAAGGAAACGGAAAGATGTGAATGTCACGAGTATCCTTATGTCGAAAGAATTGACGTATTTTCCTCATGCGTATCGCTTACGTTTACAATCTGTTGCCGGTCGTATAATATTGTACGAATGTTTTTTTGACTTATGAAAGAACGGAGTATTATGTCGGCCATGTGCTTCCAATTTTTAAAAACAAAAAATGTAATAGATATACAGGGTGTCTTGGAACTAGCGGTATAAGCGGGAAGGAGGTGATCCTATATGAAAAAAATATGTCGAAAACGTAGAATAATATTTTTTTATACGAGGCTTTATTTTTGAGAAAAAGGATTTTAAATATTCAGATATGCGTGTTGAGTCTGGTCTCAATCGAGCTCACTACATATTATCTTTGCAGACTTTGTGTTTACAATGTTAATATCAAAGAATACTTCGTGGATACATAATAAGTCAAGATATATTTTACGCTTATTGTTCATTTAATTTTGTGATACATTATTTTTTTTAGAATAATTTTTAGAATAATCGACAATTTTATGAATATATGACAGCCTTCGGATTTATGCGATATATTATTTCAGAAATTAACAAGAGAAATAACAATCAGAATATTATTAGTTAATTTTTTTTTGAATAAAAAAAGATCTTTCTCTCTTAAAACATTATTTAGAAACACGTGAATAAAATGTAAAAGAATATTAGAATGACATTATTCTTTTCGAGATACTAGAGTGAGAATTTAGGTATTTTTCGCACAGATTTATAAATATTGCGTGAGAGATATTGCGTAAAGATTTACAAAAGAATAGATTTTTATTTTTCGACGAAGTGAGACTTTGACCGCGTGGGTCGGAATCTCGGAGCGGCGGTGCTTTTTCGGTTTTCGGCGAAAGCGATTGTGCGGTCATAATTGGGTCGTACGAGCGGGTAAATTAGGGGCCGTTAGGAACGAGAATCCGGCCCCTAACAACGTTTACCTTACGCGCGCGCGTCCGTAATTTAGTATTCGCCGACCGACTGGCACTTCTCGGACAATGGCGCCAACGTGTCACCCCCGCATCCGGTTCCCGGGAATCTCAGGCCCCACTTCTCCGCGGGGGTCCATTCTCGTTTAAACGGCATACACACACACACAACTGGCCCAATTTACCTCCGTATTACGTCGAGAAACGGAAATAGAAGATTGAAACGTATCAGCGATCGAGAACGATCGACAAATCGGTTTAAGTCGAAGATTAGAAAAGTGGATCCACAATTTTTCAAAAGTGTCATTTTTTTTTTTTAAATATATGTTTTCTATTTAAATCATCGACGGCAATCTCATACGCCGACGCCGTGGCCGACGCCTCTCGGTGTTGCCATCGCGATCAATAGTGGCGTCTTTGCGACGCCATTTTGCAAAATGCGCGCGCTGATCTTTTCGCGAACCTTCTCCATCGTTGTGTACTATTTAATTGCTTTCCTCGTAATTTTTATATTCTATTTTCGATAAAGAAACACAATAAATCTATTGTTTTATCTTATCTTATAATTAATATTTTTTATACAGATTATCGTAACATGTGTAGGGCTTATTTCACAGATACATTATATATAATTTTATATGTGACAAAGATTGTTATAAAAATATCGCGATCCTTTTCGGAAAAGTAAAAAGAATTTTACGCGAATGAGTTTCCGGTTAGGAAATCCTCCGAGTTCGAGCATCGTCCTTTTGCGTCATTCTGTCGAGCCATAAACGTCAGGAAGGTAAAAGCCACGTTACTATTAGTGGATAACAGTGGCAATTAGCGCTCCCGAAATCTGTCAAACGTGACCCGCCACCAGATGCCTCGAGACCGCTCCGCCAGTCACCCGGTATATGTATAATGGTTCGTAAATCTCTGTCTCTCGCAAAGGTCGAACGCAAAGTCCTAGTATCCTGCCAATCCTCCGCAGTCTCGTCTCGTCCTATTCGGATTTTCGAGACCCTACTTCGCTTATGTAAACTTTTTTTTTCATAACTTATTCATAAGTGAAGTATTTTTCTCGAAATCTTTTCCTCAGATTTGGATTTTTACATATATATCATTTTCAAAAATATCTGTATGGTATCGGACAAATCCGACATTTTAATATTTGTTTTATATTTTCACGAAAATATTAGCTAAGACTGAAATATCAACGTACTATTGATGATATAATATAAATATTACATCATTAATCGTATTTAAAAAACCGCAATATCGCGGTTGATATCGTAGTACTTTTATTCTTGGTGCTCACAGTCTCTTTCATATCTCCTTCAAGCCTCCGTTTCCTTTTGCAAAAAAAAAAAAAAAAAAAAGAGACGAGATGGATCGGAAACGATTCATTAGATTCTGCGCGCGTTGTTTACGGGACAACCCGCGGCCTGCTTTTTGTTTTAATCGACAATGTGAGCGAAGGAATAAAGAGCGGCGCGCGACCACACGTGTCCTCGTTCATTGTGCGTGCCAATGTGCCCCGTAGCGCGACGCAATAATTAAGGGCGAGATCCGCGATCGAGATAAAATGCGCGTGCGGTGCACGATAATGACGGAGCCTTTTAACCCTTCGCCGATCGAGCAGCTGATTCGCGTGATAAAACGAAGCTATCGGCGATGCAAAGATTAAAAAAGAATATCCCGAAATATATTAGCTTTAATTGCTCCGGAGTTAATTCTAGAATGCGTAAAATCGCAGGAAATAATTTCGGAAAATTCCAGATTTTGTAGAAAGATATTTTAAAGTCGGCTTATGTAAAAATATTATCTAAGAAAAAGAGAGAGAGAGAGAGAAATTTAAAAGATTACAGGAAATATCTTGAAGAAAAAAGAAGCTATAATTTTCGCAGGATCTCTCGTATAACATTACGAGTAACGATCGCAGCGAGCCCTTCTTGGCCCAAGTACTCCCTTAAGAATCATAAAATTTATAGTTCGGAAACTGGGTCGGACGCGACGGCCGCGCGCATCCTGCTCGTAAAAATTAAACGTACGTAGGACTGGATCCCGAGCGAGAGACAAAGGATCACGACCCGCCATGCTGACCCCTCGCTTCGTCGTCGTCCTTTCTACCGGGATATCGTTGACGAATGTTCCCGGGGCCCGGCATTCACGGGGGCTTCGGGTGTAGTGGACCAGGCGCAAAAAGGCGCCGGCAGCGACGCCCACTGAGAAACAAAAGGGCCGGCGAGAAATAGCCGGTCGTTTGTCTCGGGACATTCGGGAGTCCTTCGTTCGCCCTTGCCGCCGATTTTTCACCCCTTTCCTTCACCCAGTGCGCCGCGCTCGTTTCTATTTTCTCTCTCTCTCTCTCTCTCTCTCTCTCTCTCTCTCGCTTTTTTTCTCGGCTCGCTAATGCAAATTAGAAAGGGTTGCGACGCGCGTGTTTAAATATCGCCGACTATTATGCAACGATAATGTTCGTCACGCCCGTAAGCAGAATCAGAAGGAGCGGAGAAAAACAAATGTTTTCTACCGTTCTCTTTCCTCGTGAGAACGAGGAAGGCGATCGGGACATTCTTCGTTCGCCCTTGCCGCCGATTTTTCACCCCTTTCCTTCACCCAGTGCGCTGCGCTCGTTTCTATTTTCTCTCTCTCTCTCTCTCTCGCTTTTTTTCTCGGCTCGCTAATGCAAATTAGAAAGGGTTGCGACGCGCGTGTTTAAATATCGCCGACTATTATGCAACGATAATGTTCGTCACGCCCGTAAGCAGAATCAGAAGGAGCGGAGAAAAACAAATGTTTTCTACCGTTCTCTTTCCTCGTGAGAACGAGGAAGGCGACCGGCGATGACTAATGACGTATATGTCGTTTACTCCTCCTCTCTTCGTCGATCCGCGCCGTGTCTAGTTTTTGCGACTTGTCTCTCGCTCGGAATATACATGTCTCGACGATTCGTCTCGCGATGTCGGGTGTAAACGAGAATACTATCGCGAGTAAGGATATTCACATTGTTTGAATCTTAAACAACGTATATGATTCCTAAGAAAATAAATAAATTCCTGTCTCGTCGATGTATATAAATGTAAATTAACAAGAAATATTTATAAGAAATTAATATTTTATATATATCAGAATATTTTTCTAAAATTTTTTATTACAAATTAAATTTTAACTGCATAAAAAAGTAAATAAAATAATATGTATTCGCGCATGTGATTCTGCCTGGATAAATATATCATTGATAAATATATCGTAGAGATCGACAAGAGATAACTCGCGATTTTGCAAGGAAAAATGCACTATAAATATTTTTGTGTCGAAAAACCCGAGGTATTTCCCTGTCACGCTCTGTCGCTTGCGTTTCATACTTATCTTGATATGCATTCCGCGTAAGATTTAATATTTCCGCCTCGCCTTACCTGGAAGCTGGCATTAATATACATCAGATTGCGCGAAGGCGAAACTTTCCGCCTCGAGAGAAAACTGCGATAACGCGGCTTGAAATTAAACTCGAACATAGAAAAATGCAAGAGAATTGATGTTTATTTTGTCTCATTTCATTGAAAGAGAATGACGCAAATTTTTTTCGAGAAATGAAAACCAGAAGCTCTCGAGCCCTTTGAGATCAAAGGCCGCGAGCGATTCGATTATCGAAACGTTTAAGGCCCCGTTTGCGCCCCGCGTTGTCGCACCCCGTGGCTCGATTATTAGTGCATAAAAATGCGCCCCGCGGTGCATTGTCGGCGGCGCAGCTGTAAGAATGAAACGAGATGTAACGTCGATTTACCTCTCCGTCGGCGAGGCGTTCGTTTGTTCGTTCACGCGAATCTCACACCCAACTAATTGCGTTTATAAACGAAGCCGTCTCTATATCCTTGACTGCTAACAAGATTTATCATTCTAACGACTTCAAGAATAACGAGCACAATAACGCCGTGCCAAAACAAAAAAAAAATTATTTTTGGGAAATTTCAATCTACGAAAGTTTTAGACAGACAACGAAATAATTTGGAAAAATAAGTTGTATTATAGAAATTGATTAATAAATGTATCGTTTATCACACTGATGTTTAAATTAGATTATATATTATTTTGATTTTAAAGATTAAATTACATTGAATTTTAAACGTTAAATTAAATTAAATATTATATATTTTTCTATAGATATATATACGAGAAATAAAAATGTTATACACAGAATAATCGCGCAGCATTTTAAGTCATTTTATTAATTGTGTGTCGCTGTTCATTACGTCAGGATCCTAAATACTGTCTCGACTGGTTTTCCCCGAGCGTTCTTGACCTCGTAATAATATCTGGGCTCCGTGGCGGGACCACCGGAAGTCGGGTCGTTTGCCAGAAAATAAAATAGCACTGTGTTGCACTGTCGGCGCAGAACCCAGTAATCGTTTTTCGAGAGCCATTCATTTAGATTTTCCTCGGAAAACACCGCGTGGCAATCTTAATTAATAGTCATAAATATAACCAAGAGAATAACACGATTCTACATCGTGTGCTAGAAATTTTAGAGAGAACGGAGATAATTTTCGTAAAGTTCTATTATATATATATAATTAAGTACCATAATTTAGCTTGCTTTTCTATTTTTATATAATAAGTAAATAATTTGAAGTTATTATGTATATACTCCCCATAATTTTTTCATGTATTTAAGAAAATTAAGAGAAAAGGAAATTAACTTAATTAATTAATTTTTATAACGATATATTAATTGAAAAATTTCTACAATAAATTCAGCATTAAAATATTCTATGTTCGATCAATTAATTAGAATACAATTTCCCGATTTCTAATAAAGATTTCAAACAAGTCGAGATACTCGAGATAATAGCTGTTGCATGATTAGATTTTTATAGCGCGGATTACACGAGTACTATAAAGAATTCTGCTTGTAATTGATTTCTTATACAAGTATAAGACGTACAGGCGCAGCCTCGCCTCTTTCAATCTCTCATCTCTCCTTCCATCTCGAGACGGAGAGACCGCGAGGTCTCGTACCTTCCAATCTGCGTAATCGTTCTCCGGAAATAAGAAACGTTCGCCGTTGTTGAACACGAGAAAAGGGGGCTTCGGGGGAACGAGAGAACGGGGCACATGATTGAAACTTGCGGGTAGTGGCCCATAATGGAGCCCTCCTACAACCCACGCCGACGGATTTAAAAAAAGAAAGATCATAAGAGGTTGCTGTAAGTGAGCCGATATCGGCCTCGAAGAGGGAATCGACGGGCCTCGTCATTTTCTCGCGCACGTAGATTTCGAGGAATAACACGTTGAGCCAGTAATAGCGTTCGGATTAGCAATCAAAACATTTCAATTGATTATTTTAATTATTTCATATCAACAATTGAAAAGAAAGTATAATATGCGTGATTGCGATAATGATATTGCTAATCGAATTTAAGAAATTATGAGAAATCATTTTAATTTAAATATAATATATTTAATAATATATTTATAATATATTTGAAAAGAAAGGAGAAATAATATTTAAATCTCATACTATAAAAGATAATTTTTATACATTATCACGAAAAATATTACTCTATACGAGTTTATATTTATTGTTAGATATATGAACAATTTTTCTATTTGCGATAAAAATCGGGATCCGAAAGAGGATTACTCTAAACTGCCATTTATCTCTTAATGTTGAAAAATATTTGAATCTCTCTCGTATCCGTTCTCCCATCATCCTACATCCAACATCAAATCCAACGAAAGATGCACAACGTAAAGCCACGTTCGTCTCAAGACGCATCCGAAGTCCTTCCATCATCGAAACCTCGTCAAGCCAGAAATCTTCTCCATCAATCTAATTGTAAGACCATCCAAGACCTTTCCAAGGAGCATCCCAATCATCCACCGAGACCGAGATCGAGATCGAGACCGACGAGTATCGACGTTTCCACACGTGGACACAGCATCAGCACTGAAATTTTCCGTCCCGCCGATTGCGGTGTTTCAGGTACACCTGCGCTCGCATCTCATCATGAACGGCGTATGCGTGAGGTGGCGCGGTTGGATCGATCTGGATCGGCTCGACGGCGTCGGATGCCTCGAGTACGACGAGGAGCGCGCCGCTGAGGAGGACGCGCTGTTACGGGATCAACTCGAGCGTTACAACCAGCGGCTGCGCGACTTCGAGGAGAAGCAGCGTGCTTATCGTAGCGGCGCGGCATCAGCCGCGCAACCACCGCATCTCAATCATCATTATCACCACGACACGCATCACGCGGCGAGCCATCACCATCACCATCACGGCCACCACAGCCGACACGTGGGCGGCGCGGGCGCCACCGGCGCCACCGCCACCGGTATCGAACCCCACCTGCCGCATCGCCAGGACCCCGACATGGAGGTGCGACTGCGAGCCTACTGAGGCCCGCGTTGATCCGATTGCCTTCAATGACGGTGAAGGACGGGAGAGAGCCCATTCTTGGTCTTGGATCGATAATGTTAAGCGCGTCGACGTTAGGTAAACGCGAAAGCCACCCCCCCCCCCCGCACGCTG